ACCATGAAGATAGCAGCCCGAGTTGTAACCACTAAGCTATCAGAGCTCCTTACTACACTAGTTATCTTAGGCCCCTGGTATTTCTTAACTTTAAAGTGGAGATTAGCACTCTGGCTTGCCCAAGAGTGCTGTTGGCATCAGTATATGTCTGAACGTTTGCCTGGCTCACAGTGTGTCAGAACTTTGGAGGAGGGTGCAGAAAGGGAGCCCCTAGACCCAGAATGGGACAGGCATCTTGATTACCTGTGTCTGTATGTGTTTGTGCCTCCAGTTTAGCCAGGCTTTGCCCTTATAAAGAGGACAAATAAGCTATTTTATGAAATGGAGACACTGAATTTTAGCTTGAAGTCAACAGTTTGAGCCCACCAGCTGTTCAGCGGTAGAAAGATGAGATTTTTCTGCTCGTGTAACAATTTGCAGCCTCAGAAATCCTATGCAGGATAGCCATGAGTTGAAACCGACTTGCTGGCACCTCACAACAACCACTTGCTGTCCTGTGGTGACTCAGGGATTAGCACAGAGTTGTGCATCACAGGCTTCTCATGGATGTGACCTCTTGGAAACAAATCACCAGGCCTTTCTTTTGCTGCACCGCTGAGTGGGCTCAAATGACCAACCTTTCTGTTAGTTACCCAGTGCTGAACTTTTGTGCCACTTAAGACACCAAGCTTTCGCTTTTTGTGTTCCCGCTTTATGTCAACGATTCTCAGTTCTATTGAATCTAACATTAGATTCACCTAGGTCCCAGCCCAAGACTTACAGGGAATCCTGGTGTAGAGCTAGAGGATAAGCATTGGACTGCTAACCTCAAGGTCAGGAGTTCAAATCCACTAGCTGCTTCTCAGGAACCCCATTTCAAGTTGCTACGAGTTGGAACCATTCAATGGCACTTAACAACAACAACAGCAATCTCTGGAAGGTGACCACCTGGCAGCACAATCGTTACGAACTCAGCTGCAAATCAAAAGGTTGGCAGTTCGAACTCACCCACTGGCCCCTCTGAAGAGAGATGAGGTAATCTGCTTCAACTGTTGTAGGATGCCTGGAATCGGTTCTGGCACGCAGCAGGATGGCAGGATGAACCACCGTCCTCACTGCTGTTGCGTGTTTGGACCCATTGTTTCCAGCCACCGTTTGTCAATCCATCTCCTGGACAGTCTTTTTTCACTGACTTTTGCAAACATGATGTTCTTCTCCAGGGTCTGGTACTTACAGACAACATGTCCCAAGTATGTGAGACGAAGACTTGTTTTCCTCACTTCTAAGGAGCATTCTGGTAGCGTAGTGGTTACGAATCGGGCTGCGAACCTTAAGGTCAGCGGTTCGAAACTACCAGCTGCTCCGCGGGAGAAAGATAAGGCTTTCTACTCCCGTAAAGATTTACACCCTTGGAAACCCTGTACAGGGTCGCTATGGGTCGGAACCGACTCGATGGCACTTAACAACAACAACAACAAGGAGCATTCTGGCTGCACTTCTTCTAAGACAAATTGGTTTGTTCTTGCAGTCCATGGTATATTCAATATTCTTCACCAACACCATCATTCAAATGCATCAGTCTTCCTTATTTATTATCTAACTTTCACACACATACAAGATGATTAAAAAAATATCGTGGCTTGGGTCAAGAACATCTTAGACCTCAGAGTGACATTTTTTTTCTTTTTCTTTTTAACACTTTCAAGAGATCTTTTGCAGCAGATGTGCCCATTGGTTTCTTATGGTTTTGGTTTCTTATGGCTGCCTCCATGGAGATTGATTGTGGTCCTAAGTAAAATGAAGTCCTTGACAAGTTCAATCTTTCCTCCTCTTCTGATGATGTTGCTTGTTGGGGTCCAGTCCAGGAAGTCCTACAGACAGTTCTGCTCCGTCACATGGGGTTGGTATGAATTAGAGGCAACTCAACAGCACCTGACAACAATCTCTCACATGCAGCCGGGCTGCAAACCACTGATGTGGACTTTTTGATGTCCAGGAAGATAGTTGCACCTGTCCCAGGAGGACCAAGTAAAGGATCCCTGGTACCATCATCATGGGTTGTGCATTGGGCTGCTAACCAACAGGTCAGCAGTTCAGATCCACCAGCCACTCCTCGGGGGGAAAAGAACTTACAGCTCCCGTAAAGATTTACAGGCTTGAGTCCCTACATATGGTTACTACAAGTTATAAATGACTCGAGGGTAATGATTAACATTACTTTAGGGAATCCTAGAGGTACAGCAGTTAAGTACTCTACTGCTAACCAAGAGGTGGAGGGATCAATCCCACTAGCTGCTCCATGGGAGACAATCTGGTTATCCCATCCCATAAAGACTCAAGCCAAGAAAACCCCAAAGGATAGTCCTACACTGTCCCATGGGGTCTCTATAAGTTGGGGTCAACTCTACACCCATGGGTACCATGATTCTGAAACTGGTGGTCTTTTGGTCAAAACAGCAGCTTGAGTCCTCCTCTCAGCATAACTTCATGATGTCTTGGATCTTGGCTTGATTCTCTCACTCGGAATTTTTTTGGGGCTTTTGATAATATCTGTTGTTGTTAAGTGCTGTTGAGTCAATTCTGACCCATAGTGACACTGGATAGGGTTTCCGAGGAGTAGCTGGTGAGCTTGAACCACCAGCCTTGCAGTTCAAGTGGCTTTGCAGTCTGGCACATTAACCCACAGCGCCACACCAGGACTCCTTGATAATGTCTTAGTCCCATAAAAATCCACAGATAGGCGCTGATGGTGTATTTTTAGGATACTATTGCCAACACTTATTTTGATAAAACAATACCTTATTTTTCCCTTTGATTACTGCCATGCGCTGAGGGATGCTTTCAATTCTGTTTCCCACGTTGCTGTCAGGGGTCAGGAGAACGGACTCTTCGTTACTGGAACAAAAGTCAGATCTAATACAAATAAAATAAAAGAGAAGTAAGCCTTCATAATTTTGCTTCCTAGCCAGTGTTGATTCATAAACACCTTCACTGTTGAGTTGATTCAAAACCCTACAAGACAGAGGTGAACTGCCCCAGAGGATTTCCAAGGCTGTAAATCCTCACAGAAGCAGACTACCATAGCTTTCTCCCAAGGAGAGGCCGGTAGACTCGAGCCGGTCACCTCTAAATTAGCAGCAGCTGAACGACTAACCAATGCGCCATCAGACTCCCTGCCGATGGGGACAGGTGGATGACAACCATTGGAAAAGCCCTCGCAACACAAAGTCACAAATTTTATCAGAATCTTCATTTCCTTAGTTTCCCCCCCCCCCATATCCATTCTCAAAACTTAAAAATAGCAAATATATTTGACTGATATGAAAAAAATCTCATGGCAGGTGTCTCCATACATATTTCCTGTTCTGAATGACAAATATTCAATTAAAACATAGAAATCAGAAAACTTCAAATCTAGATCGTAAGTTGTTCCTAGTGGAAGTAACATGAAAACACAGGAGTGGGCAGGGGGTGGGGAGAATTATGGGCATGAATGGAAACCTCAAAGAAATAAGCATTTCCTATTAATAAGAGACTGGCTTTTAATCAGAATATTCAGTTGTAGAGATCATTTTCCCTAGGACTGATTAAGGGTATATGGAAACAGACATTAAGGGGTTGTTCATTTCCACCTATTTCTTTTCATGTTTCCAGGCAAATGCTTTAACTTCTCAGGTCTCAGTTGTTTAACTGTAAAATGAGAGAGGGTTGAAGTTGTTTACCTTACAGGTCCTTTTTTGTCTCTAGAATTCATGAAATCATTGTGATTTTTAGAAGTAGCCAAGAAAATCCCACTTTATGGATAGTAAAGAGAGATGCTGACTTACGTCTGAAGTTGACATGTTCTTTCAAACACAGCTTCATCTGGGTTGCTACTCAGATCATTGGTGTAAACATATACTGATCATTTACTAAGATATCTGTCTATCTCTCTCTATATACATCTGTCTATCAACATGATCATTTACTAAGATATCTGTCTATCTCTCTATATATACATCTGTCTATCAACATGATCATTTACTAAGATATCTGTCTATCTCTCTATATATACATCTATCAACACTCACGGAAGCAGCAGTCATTAGGCACATTACTGCACAAGACCTTT